CTTCATGCGGCTCCGGGCACGCCTACCTGCCAACCTGACCACTACGCACGAAGCCATTCTCTCCTCTCTCGACCCTCCACTGCCATTACACCTCCTCAAAACACTGGTGGTTTCCTTCCGGCTGGGACTTCTCCTGGCCCCTTTGCAAGCCCTTCACATTCTTTCAGTGGAGCCAGCAGCCTGCGCATAGAAGCGAAAGTTGAGAGATTGCAGAACAAGCACTGTCCCGAAGTCGCCATCAGCATTGGTTCATCCTTTAGTTGCAACCAAGCTGATGAAAAAACGTTAGATGTCGGGAATGTAAGCATGGGTGCTGCAGCTCCCTGCGATTGCGATATGTCGGGTAAAAAGGTGCCTGACTGGATACGCCTACAGGCTTCTTGTCCCTCGCCAGCAACAGCTCTTCCAACCATCACCAGACCGTCAGAGGGGAGAACAGGAGCGGCTTCAGGGCATACAGCTAGAGAGAGTGCCCCATCTACCCATTGTCCACCGATCTGCCATTCACAACTGCTTTTGAGAAACCTACAACAAACAAGTGTGTTTGTCCCGGGACATCCTCAAGGAGGGTGTCTTTTTCATCAGCCTCTGGCCCTTGCTCAGCCTCAGCAGTCCCAGGTGATTCTAAAGGGGCCATCAAGACTAGCAGCAACTGCTGCTGCTGCCGCAGCAGCAGCAGCAGTAACATCAATAGCGGTGTCACCAGCAGCAGAAGCAACAGTGCCAGCAGCAGCAGCAGCAGCAGCAGTGGCTCCCGTGCTTGCACCTGCAGAAGTTGTTTCATCATCACCACCATTGATCATGGTACCACGAGCATCCTTGGTATCAATGCGACCGACACCCTTTTGGTGGCTGCTGACTGAGTGGTTTTGTGTAGATCATGACTTGGTGGCGGCCATGCCTCCTGCTGTGCAGCGGTCTGTGTTGGAGGGGCTGTGTGGGGACCACTTGGATGGCATGCTCCGGCTCGTGCATGCTGCATCAGCCATGCTGCACACCTGCTGCCACCAGATTGTGCTGCCAGAGCTGTTTGCCTGGTTCAGGGAGCATCCCCCGACGTGCTGCATCTCGCTCGAGCCTCTTGTATCACAGGTAAAGCAGGATTATATGTGAGTTGTCTTGTTGTGGTCCCGCTGTGCATTCCTTTCTTTCCTTGTCTCCTTTTTAATGCCGGTTCACATGGTTACACTGCTTGGACCGAAGTGGGTTTTTGAATAAGACCTGGACCTGCTGTTCCACATGCTTTCATTTGTGCGTGCAGGATGGACGTGTTTGTTCAGATGTTGTGGCTGTGGTGCAACGGACGCGCAACAGACAGAGCAGTGGCAACCATGCCAGCAAGCAGCCAAAGCTCCATGCAGTATGTTCCCTTTTTGTTCTTTTTTACTAGAATGCTTTCTGGCAGTGTTGCTCGTGCATGGGAGTCGGTATTGATGTTTTTTGCCATTGCTTCATACTCTTCCTGCCTGTTGCAGTTCTTATTTCGAGGAAAGGCACTTTTTGACTGGCTGGCAGTTTCTCCTCGTCCGCTCAACCCTAAGACACGTGTCACGATCCTCCCAATGGATATTTACCGCTTGTCATGAGCTAGGATATGTGTATGGTAGTTCTCTACACACAGATGTTGTAAATGACATGAAAGTATTTCATTGGCCTTTGATTTGGAACGATAAATTGTTTCCAAGATGTAGGAGGTCAGGTTTAGTTGGGTTGAAAAGGTCATTGAACAATTTTGAGCACAACTTGATCCTAGAGGACTAGATTACACATAAAACACTAGTTGAGTGTACATAGAACACTACTTTATTGCACACCGTACGAATGCTGCGTAAGCCAATTTCGGTAGGTTGTGCTATCAGGCAGCCTAGCCAAATGCAGTACAGCTCTGTAGTTTCTCTACAGGTTTGGGGCGTGCGGTCCGGTTATGCTGCAGGTTTCAGGCGATCGTGCCAAATGGTTGCGGATGTTGGCGCGAAGCGGCTCGAGTAACTTTCTGTTTTTAGGCTCGGCTTTGGCCTGGCTCTGATTTATCAACGGTTCAACGGAACCCAGGTTCCATTCGAGTGAGAGGTTTTGCAAAAAGCTTGCCGTTACGTCCTTGACCGAACCGACGCCAGTGCCTGCCGAACATACGAGCAGAGAAGCCGAACTTCAGGTTCGCCCTCATCACACCAAGCCACTACAGGCCACCCACCACCAGAAAAGCAAGCGAGACTGGACGTGAACACAGCCCACCGAGGGAATGACGCAGGACTCGCTGCACACATAACACAACCAACAACAGAAATTCGCCTTTCTTTGGCTGAATGCTGCTGTGAACAGCAGAGTCAGTGGCTGAATCTAAACTAAGAATTCAGGAGTCTAGGAACGCCGTCGCAATCAGCATAGTAGCTCTTGAGCCGTGGATTGTACACGTGAGTAGACGTGAGTCAAGGGACGCCGTCAGTCATCCAGTCACACATCCGCTGAGCTGTATTGAGCGGAAACTGCAACGTTGAGTTGGAAGCGATGAAATGACAGTGTCTGCTACTGTCTTGCCGCAACTGGTAAGCGAATGAACTCAACTGTTGCTTCACTGAGCAGGAACTACCATCTGAAAGCGGGTTTGGATAATCAACGCGTCGCGCGCATTGTCCACGAAAGGAAATAAATATAACATAAAAAAAAACGGATAATTACATCCATGAATGCGCAGCGCCACTTAGTGATGTAGCAGGCTAAGAATTCCTCTAGAAACCCATTTCCGTGTCGCGGCCGACATTGGGGACGGCAACGCCTCGAGTTAACAACTCGAAGTCATAAAGCCTCAGCATGACGGTCGTTGCACCGGTCTATGGAGCCTCGCCAGTCCAATATCCGGCAAAGAAGGTGTTGCGAGTGCAAGGAATCGCAGAATCATTATGGCACACTGGCTATTATCGTCGCTCGCTGATGCACCGTACTGTGACGCTGCTAACGTGCAGAACTTACACGCTAGGGCTAACGCGCCGTACTGTCAAGCTACTAACGCGCCATACTGTCATGCTGCTAACGCGGCACACTGTCACGCTGGTAACGCGGCATACTGTCACGCTGCTAATGCGCCATATTGTCACATTGCTGGTGGTGGCATGCAGGTCAAAATGGAGGACAGCCCGTCACCCGCTCACGCCCCTGTTCCACCGCCAAGCCTGGACCAGAATACCCTCTTGTCCTCGCCGCAAATGCCAGCGGACGATGCACAGGCAGTAGCAGCAACTCCCGGGAGAGCTGCTGTTTCTGAGTCGCCTCGTTCTCGCTCCCTCTCCCAGTCTTCGCACTCCGCCTCGCATTCTCACTCACTCTCCCACTCGCATACGCCCAGGGTACGTTTCTTGTCGCGTTGAATGTTCGCTCAACACTCCCTTATCTTCCGTGACTTCCTTCCCTCTACTCATGTTCCTTTCCCAAACTAGACTTTCCTACCCTTTTCCATCTCCCCTCCCGCCCCATGTGCTCTGTCTGTTTATTGTTTTCCGTCCCCTCTCCCATGCCTATACTTCCCATCCTCCCACGTTACACGTGTTGGGTTCACTCAGTCCAAGCCAGGGCTCACGCGGTCCCCCTCCTCCGCCTCCTCCACAGCCTCCTCACTCGCTTCCCCTTCCAAGCATTCCTCAAGGGTCAGTTCTCTTCACTCCCTTGTGAAGCCACATCCATGATCTGTCCTTCCGTTTGTGTTCCCCCCACCCCTCTTCCCGTCTCCTTCTCTTGCTTCTTCTCCTTTTCCTCGCCTCCCTCTCACACCGTGCTCTCTCAACCTCAAACACTCACACCCTCACAACTTCTCTTGTCTTCCCTCACAAATCCGTTTATCTTCCCCTATCCGCCGTCCACACACCCCCTCCCCTCATGCACCTTCCACCCCCCAAACTCGTCGTCCAATATTGCCATCCCACAACCTGCTCCCTCGGGTTCTCCTCCCGCTTCTTCCCCTTTCTTCCTACAGTCGTCCTCGTCTCGGTCCCGCCAGGACGAGCCATCAGGCCTCAAGCCCCGCATGCCCTCGTCCGCCTCTTCCGAAGCCACAAACTCGCCGCGCCCGCGCCACAAGGTGAATGTGATGAACCCGAGGGAAACCCACACACACCCAAAGGAAACACGCTGTAAGGTACTCCGGGTAAGAGGGTGATCTGTACGGTACACATTTGGAAACAAGGAATAACGCGCTGTTCTGTACCTAGGTAGGGGGGTGAGCTTGCGAGGGAACGAACGCACGGCTTATTGTTAGGCGGCGGTAGATGAGGCAAGATACGGTGTGTGCCAGACCAGGTAGCCTCGTGGTGGTTGATCCTACTGGTCACTAGCGGTGGTTGATACTGCTCTGTTTGTCCACTCGTGTCTGTGGTCGTGCAGACGAAGGAGGAGAGCAAGGAGAAAGAGAAGGAGAAGGAGAAGGAGGAGGACGGGAGCAGGGACAAGGAGAGGGAGAAACGGGAGAGGGACAAGGATAGGGAAAAGGACAAGGATAAGGAGAGGGAGAGGGAGAGGGAGAAGGAGAAAGAAAGGCGAGAGAGGAAGGATCGGAAGGAGAGGAAAGACAAGGAGAGGGAGCGGGAGAGGGTAAGCGAGGGGTCAAGGGGCAGTGACGACGACCATGCAGTGACGTTGTTACAGGAGGAGGTGGCACGGCTGGTGAGAGAGAAGGAGAGTGAAGCAGCTACAGCTGCTGCTGCAGCAGCAGCGGCAGAGGCGAGTGCGGTGGCAGAGCGAGCAGCGCTAGAGGAGCAGGTGGTGGCTCTGAAGGAAGAGCTGGAAGAAGCGCAGGACATTATTGTCACACTCTCCCAGGCGAAAGCTGATGCTCAGGTGAAGCAACAGGGGCCCGCGTGGGGCGCTTCTGGTAACCTGTCTGATGCTGGGTCCAAAAATTAATCGGAATGTAGAACAAGAAGCTTCGTCCCGCTGTAGTATTTTCTTATTCCTCTTGTTCCGTCCCGACCTGCGTCCACATCTTGTGATCGTCCTCCTGAAGCTCAGTGATGCTCGTGTGGTGCTTGCAGAATTCTCTGCTGAGGAAGGAGGAAGAGATGGAGGTGTTGGCACGCCAGTGGCAGCATCAGCTGGCAGAGCACCAATCAGAGCTGCAGCAGCTGCAAAACAAACTCCAGGTACACTCCTCCCCCCTCGTGTTTCCGCTACTGCTGCCAGAACAATTGTCGCCCCACCGCTGCCGGTGCTGCTGCTCGTGGTGCTGCTATTGCTGTTGCTGATGGTGTTGCTGGTGCTGCTTTTGCTTCGGAGTCCATTCATGCACCTCGAGAGAAGTGTGTGGCAGTCGTTCTTCTCTGAATGCCCATGAATGCCCTTTGTCAGTCCGCTCCTCTCGTTCAGTCTCATTACTTCCCAATCTCTCGACCTATTCCGTCCATCATACCCACCCACATTCTGCTTCTCCTATCCAATTCCTCATTTTACAGGAGGCCCAGAAGCAGCTGCAAGAGCAGCAGCAGCAGCAGCAGCAGCAGCAACAAGAGTCCCCTGCCCCATCGCCTTCCCTTTCCCGGGCTGCACGACAGGCAGAGCAGGTGGGCACCACGGATGATTGCATGGTTTCTCCTTAATCCTTTTGTGATCCAAAACTAACTGCAATATGTGGCACTGAAGTGGTTAATGGCAGAAGTCCGAGCGCTTATCTGATCATGCACAGGCTCACACTAAGAAATCCTTACATTGTTTATCAAGGCTCTTTTTTCTTCTGGTATGGCTTGCATACCAGTCCACAGCCGCTCATTCCCCTCCCATGCCTGCAACTGCCACCTCCAGACGCTCCACAGCCCCCCTGGCTTACACACTCTACCCAATCGCTGTCTGATCCGATCCCCGATTGAACCGTCTGCCGACCCTTGGTGTGAGCAGGAGATACGGCAGCTCTTGGAGGAGGTGGAGCGGTGGAAGGAGCACTCAGCGGAGCTGGCGAGGGAGCGCATGGACAAGGAGGACGAGCTGCTCGCCATGCAGGAGGAGTGGAACAAAACGGTCAGTCACTCTGCCTCTCTACCAGTCAGCTCCATCAGTGCCTGTACCTGCCATGCCAGTGCCCGCCCGCACCAGTGTCCCATGCTGTCATCGTCTCCTTCATCCCCTCTCGTATTGCTTGTGCTCCCCGCCCCCTTTCCTCTTATAGCCCTGTTTTCTCCCCCCGCCCTGTCTCCCACTCCGCTGCTCGGCATCAGGAGTCGGAACTGCGGGTGCGGCTGACCCAGCTAGAGGCCGAGCGCAACCACTGGCAGAAGCAGTTTGCAGAGGCGTCAACCGGCCAGGCTGCAACTGCGCATCGACCTCCCTCCCCCGCCCGCACTGCCTTTGCCTCCGCGTCTTCTGGAAACGGAGACAGTGGTGACAGTGGTGGTTTGAATGGCAGCGGTGGTGGCGATGGGGTGGGAGCTGCAAATAATTCGGTGACAGGAGCCGCAGCAGCTGAAGCAGAGGAGAATACTGAAGAAGGAATCGCGAAGCCTTCTGATGCAGTTGCAGTAGCAGCCGGAGCAGGAGCAGGAGCCAGGGAAGGAGCGGGGACGTCAGAGGAGCTGGCAGCAGTGCAGCAGGAGCTATTGGTGTGCAGGGCAGAGGTGGCGCAGTTGAAAGCAGCAGAGGAGAGGCTGAGCCACGAGGTGCAGTCCCTAGGGAAGGAGAAGCGGGAGCTGCAGAGAGAGGTGGGGTCGCTGAATGAAGAGCTCAGGACGGAGAGAGAGCTATCCGCGGAGGCTGGGGTGATGGCCGAGCAGGAGTGGCAGAAACGGCAGGAGTTGGAACGGGTGAAGAGAGATCTGGAGCGGCAGCTGGCTAAGGCGAATGCCGCTCCGGCTAGTACTCCTACTGCTGCTGGTACTCCTGGTGGGCCTGCCGGTGGCACGCCTGCTGCTGTTGGTGATCACAGGGCGGGAGAGGGAACCCTTGGGATGCAGGGGAAAGGGGCAATCGGGGCAGGTGGCGCAGCAGGGCAGGGCGGAGAAGGAGGAGACTCGGGTATGATGCCCAAGTCTCTGGAGTCTGTCTTTGATGGGGCGGCAGACACAGGAGACCACATGCATGGAGGAGGAGGAGGAGGCGAGACGAGAGGTGATTCATTAGCAAGCGGTTCCACTGGTGGTAATGGTGGTGGTGAGGGTGGTGGGAATGGAGAGGCCGCTGGTGCTCTGCGGGATGCGCAGTCGGCAGCGGCAGCGCTGGGGCTAGTGAAGGAGCAGCTAGAGCTGCAGGTGAAGGCGCTGAAAGAGCAGGGCGAGATGCTGCAGCGGAAAGCAGAGGCTCTCCAGCAGGAGGTGGCAGTGCTGCAGCGGGAGGTGCAGGAGGGGCGGCACAAGGTGGCGGAGGCACGAGAGGAGCAGACCAGGGCGGAGCAGGAGAGGGACAGGGAGGGGATACGGGGTGCGTTCAACCGCGTGTGCCTGCAGCTGGTAGGGGAGGCGAAGGAGAGGGTGGAAGAGGAGGCGGCGGCGGCGGCAGCGCTTGTGGCGTCGGCGAACGAGAGGGAGAAGTCGGCGGAGAAGTGTCTGTTTGCGCTGCTGAGCGAGGTGGCGCGGCTGGTGAAGGTGCACGAGGTGCAGGCGAGGAACAAGGGAGCCTCGTACCACCGATACCGCATCACTCTGGCGGATATTGAGAGCGTGAAGGAGGACCTCCAGGAGGTGGTGCGGAGTGTGGAGACTCACGCGGCTGTGGCCGAACGAAGCCGCGTGAAGGGATGGTCCGGGACTGGCTCGGACCTTACCAGCATGGCTGATGCCATTGCTGCTGCCTCTGCTGCTGCCTCTGCTGCTGCTTCGGCTGCTGCTACGGCTGCGGCTTCCGCTGCTGTGTCTGCTGCTGCTGGTGCGTCGTCAGTTGTGGGAGGGGGAGGCGGGGGAGGGGCTGATTGGTCGGGAGCTCAAACCCGGGGGATGCAGGTGCAAGGCAGGGACGAGGAGCCTCCAGCCAATGCATTGATGGCAGAGCTACTGGAAAAGGAGCTTGACAGGGTGATGAGCAGGGTCGCAGATGCGGAGAATCTGCAGGTGGCGATTGGGGCTGTGGTGGCGGAGGAGAGGAGATTAGTAGAGGATGTGCAGAGAGACCTGCAAGCAGTGCAGGCGAAGCTGGTCGAGGCAGAGATGATTCGCGAGCAGGCAGAGGCGCTGCGCGAAACAGAGCGGGTTCTGAGCAAGGAGATTGAGGAGGAGGGCAAGGAGGCCAAGGTGCGGGCTTTGGAGGAGGAAGAAGTGGAGGGGAGGATCATTGCTCTAGAGGCAACGGAGCAGGTGATTAGATCAGATCTGGAAGAGAAGAGCCTGCGGCTGAGGCAGATTGATCGAGACCACCCAGATCTGAGTGCGGCTGTAAGCATGGCAGGAACGGGGGAGGGCGGCGCAGCAGCAGGGCTGAAGAAGCTGTTTGCTCTTGGGAGGGCGGCGGAGCCTGCGGTTGTGGTTCCACCGTCGCTGTCCGCTGTGGCGAAGGAGAGGGCGAAGCTGCTGGATGAGATACGGGTGATGCGGGAGCAGCTCATGTGGACACAGTCGTCGCTCATCAAGGCTCGACAGCGACTGCCGGAGCTGCATCAGGTGCTGCTTGCGTCGCCCTGCTCTCTCTCGTCGTCATGTCACGTAGACACGTTTGAAGCACTTTGGGTGCAGAAGTCTGTGCCCCGTTTTGTTCTCTTCACATACACAGTCGTGTTTGTGATTTCTCTTGGGTACTGTAGATTTGTCTCGTGTGTGCATAAGGTGTTTGCATGCATTACACATGTTTGGTCTGTCTTTTGGAGTTTTCTCACCCGCACGGGCCTTCAACTCACTCCCCTCCCCTGTCCCCTCTCTCCATATGCTTGACTGCTGCCACACTTCCTTCTGCCCCAACTCTGCCCTATGGTCGATGCACGTTGTGGTTGGCGGGTTGCCTTGGTACTCTCAGGAGGCAGTGGAGTGCCGGCGAAGGGTGGAGAAGAAGGAGAAGGAGGCTGTGAGGGTCAGGCAGTGGCTTCAAGACCATGCCGCTGCTGTTGGGGGCACAGGGGGAGGAGAGACAGGAGGGGGTGGGGCAGGAGAAAGAGCAAGGGGAGGGGAAGCAGTGCCAAGGGTGGGGGTTGGAGGAGGCAAGGCAGGTGTGGTGGGAGGGTTGTATGGTGGGATTGGAAGCGTTGCTGGTGATAAAGAAGATGCAAGCAAGAAGAGTGGTGGCGGTGGCAGTGTGTGGGGATGGTGGCAGTCAGTAAGTGGCAGCTCGCAATCTTTTAGTTTGCACACTGTCTTTACTCTATCTTTTCTTGCATGCTGTGCTTGATAAAAACTGTCTCTGCCTCTGGGTTCCCTTCCTTTACTCCCTCCCCTTAATGCTGCTTCTTACCGTCTTGATCTTCCTTCCTTCCTTCTGCACTTCCCTGTTCGTCCCGGAACAGAAAAATGACGGCCACCCATCCAGCTCCCCACGGACACATGCCACTGCAGCTGCTTCTGTATCTGCAGCTGCTCATGCTGGTGCTTCTAGTGCTGCGGCTTCTATAGCCTCTACTACAGCCACGTCAGGATCCATACCACCACCAGCAGCAGCTACTGCTGCAGCACCACCTCCAAAACTCCCGCAGGCTCCCGTGGTGGAGGAGCAACTGCAAGTTGGAAATAGCCAAATGGTGGATGAAGGAGGGACAGCGGTGCATAGAAGGGTGGAACCAGTGGGAGGCTACGATGCTGGGGAGGAGGAGGATGAGAACGATGAGGTGGAGTGCACGGAGGGAGATGAATATATAGGAGAGGGGGGTGACGATGAGGACTACGGAGAGGATGATGACCAACCGAATGAGTGTGTGCAGGTGGTGGCCTCTGAGCTGGAAGATAGTCCTGGGTTACAGGAGGAAACGTCTGAGGCAATTGATGAGGAGGTTGCTGCTGCGAAATTTGTAGAATAAGCACAGCGGTATATGCACGTGACAAAACAGAGGGTACTTCCCTCTCTCAGTTCACCGTTTGCCCGTTTAAATTTTAACTGCCTGGATTTTGTGTTGCAGACTCCATTTTCTACATTAAGTTGAAGGAGGATATATACTTTGTTGCGACCTATCGTATTCGTTCTAAGATCCACTACAAGATCGTTAACAATGCTGAGCGAGTCAACTGTGCAACAGTGTCCTTCGTGGCAGCTGTCTGGTGGTGACGCTGTTCAGTCGCAGAGCTTCTTGAACAGTGTTGATTTGTCCCAGGTAACTGTAACAGACCACTCACGCAGATACAGTTTCAGGGGAAACAACAAAAGGTCTGTTGGGGGAGAGAAGGACAGCCTAGCCTATCGGGAACTTTCGTCGTATTATCCATGGATCGAGGCCGATACGTCAGCACAGAACGAACAAAAGTTTTTTAACTACACCATAACTTTGCTTCTCTTGATGTGTACTTTCTTCCTTTCAACCTTCTGGTGGAGCTGAGAAGCTGGGTCTATTTATCCGCTGGGCAGACGTATCGAAAACATTTAGGCTCACGGGAACATGTCACAAAAAGGTAACATGGAGGCTGTTCACGTTCAGAGCCATGCATTCGCGAGCCGCGTCTTTTCCTCCACCATTCAAATGCAAGACAGGTCGAATGTACACCCTGTTTCGCGTCACACTGACATTGGCTGTATTGACGTGCCGTTTATTCTGACATCAACGCGTCCAAAACGGTCCCAGAACATAGCATATAAGCACAATTCGCCGTAATAAACCGTACGCGATAGCATTGTTTCTTTCATAAACCGTTGTGTATCGTTCTTCTGGACTGCATTTGCCCGCCACCTACCGGGGGTTCAGTTGCAAGCACCAGCCCGCAAAATCCAAGCACACGTTCGCACTGTAGCCGGGGCTCCCGATTGTCAGAACGTTGAGAAACAGGGTGTAGGCAACACTGACAGGTCGAATCCGACCCACCCGACCAACATCACGATTCATGTCCACCTCGCAAATGGCACTTTTCTAAACAGAATGCGCCCACGCTCTTGCTGCAGCTCGGTGTCAGAATTTTAGCCCACTGAGTTTCTTCGCCAGTCGACATCGATATTCCTAGACCAGCTGATATTCCTAGCCAATCCTATTCTGGAGCGATCTGAAGCCATGGCTCGTCATCCCCTTCCTCGATTGATCGCAGCCATCCTCGTCCTGTCTATTCTCGTAACAGCACGCGCCAGCAAAGTCTTTTATTCTCTCACAGTAAGTCACCTCTCGCATAATGTTCAACGTCAGACCTTCCACGCGCAACTTGCGTGACTTCCCCGCGCAACACGCGCAACGTCATACATAATGCCGCTAGCAGCGACTTTTTCTCGCCGTCTTTTCGCCATGTCTTTACTTCTCCACCCGCCTCCCACTTTCACCCTTTCACCCGATCCTCGTCATCTTTCCTCGCTCATTTCCGTCATTCCGTCGCCCGTATACCCGCCCCTCCTTGCCCTCCTGCCCATTCGAACACCGCTTTCTCTTCCTTACCCCCCCTTATCCCTCGCCGCCTCCGGTACTACGATCGCATCCTCATCGTCATCATAATCGCGACCCAACCGTCGCAGCGGTACGAGCAGACGGGCAACGCCATCTGCCTCAAGGCGCGCGACGACAATGCGGCGGCCGCCACGCAGAGCGGCGCGTTTGACCTCAACTACGCTGACGTCATGTTCGCCGGCGTCAACCCAGGCTCATCCAGTACGCGCGCTGCGAGTCCCAGAGCCTGTCCCTTCTCTGCCGTTCCTGGTTCAATCTATTCCGCCGCTTCATTTCATCACTCATCATTCCATCATCTAAATCCCTCCCACCCCCATTCCCCCATTCCCGCCGGCCCGTCCGCCTTCTCCGCCGGCAGTCAAGGACGGGAATGGCATCTGCTACGACAGCGCGGTGCCTGGGAGCGCGTCGTTCCTCGACATCCAATACTACGTCAACATCACCTTCTTCGGTCGTACCTACATCGCGTCGCTCCCCACGCGCCTGCTGCCCGCGGTCGTCGCACAGGCCTCGTTCAGAGTGAACGTGTGGTGGAACCGCGTCGCTGGTGCCGACCAGGGGCCGCCGTCCGCGGACGGCGGCAGCGGCCGCAGCGGCGGGTCTGACGGTGCTGCTTCTGCTGCGGGCGCGACGGCGGCGGCGGCAGCGGCGGCGGATGCGGCGGCTTCTGCAGCTGCTGTTGCTGCTGGCGCAGATGCGGGCGGAACCGGAAGTTTGAATGGCCAACAGCAGCAGGGAGGGGCGGATGTGGTGGTACTTAATGCGGTGAACAAGGCATCGAAGCCTCTGGAAGTGATTGGTGCGCCCACCCTCGTGTCTCTGGAACCCGCTGACTCCCCCAAACAGCCCACCACCGAAACTGTTGCAGTGAGTCCAGATGGTTGTCTTCTGCCTACCCCATACCGCGCCTTACTCCCTTTCCCCCCACCATCCCCTGCCCACCTAGCCCCCTCCCCGCCTCCCTGGCCCCCACCGTTGCAATGAAAGTTCATTGTCATTCCTTCCATATTTCCCACACGCATGCACTCCCCAGCCCGTATCAGTCGCGTCATTTGTGTGCACCGTGATTTGTGCTAACCAGCCTTCCTGATTCAATTCCGCCGTCATCAATACTCACCCCACATTCTCCACGTCCCACCTTCTCCCCGCTCCCCTGCCCTCCCCTCTCCACCCCCCACACCCCAATCCTCTCCCCGCGCCTACACCCCCACCTATCCCATGCAGGCCCCAGCCGCAGCCTACTCTCTTCGCTACACAACGTTCGACGTCGCCCTGCGCTACGTGCTCCCCAAGTACCTCACCCCAGCCTACGCCTCCAACGGCCAGCTCTCCTTTGCACCACGGGCCTCGCAACCAGGCGCGACAGGCGCTGCCGCCATCCTGTTCACGTCGGAGCGAGACGCGGTGTACGCGGGCGGCGTCACGTGGATTGTCTCGTACCTTGTGCATCGCCCGGACCCGTCGCCGTCGTCTGTGGGCTTCCAGTTTGTGCTCTTCGAGGCGTCCTTCTACCAACCGCCGCCCAATGCAACGTCCTCCTCTTCCTCTGCTGCTTCTAGCTCCTCTTCCTCGTCCACGTCTACTTCTGCTTCTGCTACTGTTGTGACTCCAAGCCCCATGGCGCGGCGGTTGCTGCTGGCGCAGGGGGCGGCAGCAGAATGCAGTGGGCTGGTGTGCCCTGGGAGGACTGACTCGGCGCGCTCAGGTGCTGCAGCCTTCGTATGCCGGCCGCGCTACCCCTGCCCCTTGGGCTGCACTCCTGGCAAGAGCAACTACCCCAACTGCTGCCTTGCGTGCTCGGCTTCGTGACAGTATGCATGGGGGAGTTTCCACTTGATCATGGCTGTCAGCGTGCCAGCAAACCAGCAGATTAGCAGGCCAGCAGGCCAGCGCACCAGCAGGCAAAAAGGTTTGCAATGAAGCAGGGCAGCCAAGGATCACCCGCCGGTTTGCTTATCAAGGACGTCAGCGCGCCTCCTCATCTGAACATCGTTAACGCTCCACTCCTCGTAACCATTCTTTAATTGTTGTGTTGTTCCCGGTGCGTGCCAAATGGACGCCCTATGACGGTTGCTTGGTGCTGCCGGGGACGGTTTCTCCGGCCTGGGCAGTGCTGCTGGCTGACACGCCTCCACTGCAGGTGTATTTATTGCCGTCGTTGACTAGTCTCCTTCATTGATCTCTAGGATGGCTGAACAGTAGCCCTCAGTTGATGTCCTGAAAGTTTATTACTGTACTGGTCTCCTGTTAATAAACCATCCAGTTCAGTGCTAGAAAAAGGAATGGTCTAAGGTTGGAATCAAGTGTGTGCATCCTGCTATTTTGAAGGGGTATAATATGGTGTGGTGTGGTGGATTGTTGAAGCGCATTGTGAAATACGCCGGATACTCACCCACGACACAACATCCACAAACCATAATCTATAACGAGGCACTCCGTATGCAATCGCGGTTCAACTTCCCCCTTCCCCCAAACCACGCTTCCCTGCTGCGCACGCATGCAAACCTGCACTCCAACTCCTATCTCTTCTCCACAAATTCCCCCCCCAATCCCCCCCCAATTCCACAAATCCCTCGAATCTGTCCATTCCAATCAAGCCGTCTCCACAACCATACTTCCGCGCCTCGTTCGCCTCCATCCTCGCTCGATTTTCTTCCCCATCGCCATGGCTCTCACTGTCGCTTCCGCGGGCCTCTCTTCCACCGTCAGCAACTCTCTCGGCCACCGCGCCGCTACAAACGCTGGTCTGTCCACTTCAGCGTCCGCCTCCCCGCTTTCCATTTCCGCGACCCGCCGCGCCTCTTCTGCTCCGCGGGGCTCCTCGTGGCTGCGCGGATCCCCCGTGCAGCTTCCGGCGCGCGGCCTTTCGGCGGGATCTCTCGGGGGAGCGATTAAGCCCGCCCGCAGAGGCGGCGGAGGGGCGATGACTGCGACGGCGGGATTGGGAGACGCCGCGGGGTTGACGGCCGCCGCGTACGGCGCTTCTCTGCTGTTCGGCGGCCTCTTCGCATGTGAGCCGGTCGAGCCGTGCGCCAGGCGCTCAGCTGCGCGCATGCCTGGAAATTTGTAATTGTTTGTCTGTCTCTTGCGTGGCGTTCGGTCAGTCCGTGGTCTCGAATCCGTTTCATTTCGCGCCCTGCTTCCCCAAATTCCCCCGCCCCCCCCTTTCCCCTGGCCTCCACCCCCGCCTCCCCCGCTTCCCCTGCCTTCTCCGCCTCTCTTGCCATTCCGTCACCCCCCAGACCTCCGCACGGGCAGCAAGTACTCTTTGGGAGGCGGGCTGACGGGCGCTGCGCTGTTCGCCACGGTGCGTTAAAGTTGATTGAAGCAGTGCGGAACCAGCATTGAAGTAGCGTTTGCCCTTCCGTCCAGCTCTTGCTATACTTTTTCCATGCCAATCCTTTCTATGCCCTGGCTGTCCGAAGCGCGTTTGGCTCTGGCAAGGTGTCACCACACAACCAGCCAGCGTGGCTGCACCAGACAAGTCAACTCAGTCAAGTCAACCATGCAGCCACGCTGGTTGGGCGATGGCACCATTAAAGCAGCCCCGAGAATTAAACTGAAACAAGCAATGCCCGATGCTTGCCTACTCTTCTGACGCAACCTCTTCCCACACTGATAGATTCCCCTTTGGATGCGCCCTCCTCCCCAACCCACCCCTTCTTTCCTCCACTTCCCTTTCGCCCTTCCCCCCCCCCGTTGGGCATGGCATGTGCAGGCCTTCTATCTCATTCAGAGCGCTCAGACGGAGTCCCTAGGCAACGCTCTGGGCTTTGGCGCTGGCCTGCTCTTCTGCGCCCTCTTTGGTCAGTTCTTTTGCACTACGCAACACACATTCTCTTCTTCCTCCTCCCACCCGTCCCCTCTTTCCACCTCTCCCCCACTCCCCGACATTCCACCCTCCCCTCTCCCCCCCTCCGTTCCTTCCTTTCGTGCACAACTTCACCTGCGTTCATCTCTGCCCTTCGATGGACGTGCACCTTTTTTCTCTCTCCCTCTCTCTCTCTTTCCTTGAAGGCCACTTGAATGCTACTTCTGTCTGAAGCTTTCATTTTTCCCATTCGGGAAACAGAGTACCGTACATGTCGTTCCGTTTCCTCCTCTCACCCGTCTACATCCCCACTCACCCCCCTTTCCCCATCACCACACCAATATCCCACTGCTCACGCCCCTGCCGTGCAGCCATCCGCCTCTTCCTCACAGGAAAGCCCATGCCCGCTGCCCCTCTTCTTGCCTTCAGTGCTGCTGCCACTGCTGTTTTTGCATCCGCCTATTTTGGCGCATGATGTACAGGAGGCAACTGTAGTGATTACCGTTATGTTTAGGTTTTAGAGTCGACTCAATTACCGTTATGTTTAGGTACGGTACTATCGCGTTGTAATGCAGGCTCAGATCAGGGCCAGTTTCCCAAGGGACAGGAGACAGGACTGCTGCAAGGTGTAGAAAAGGTACATGTAGCAAGTAAAGAAACAAGTGGTACCTGGTTTGTGTATGGATGGGACTGGATTTAGTGGAGTTTGCACATCTACTACTTTACCCTCCGTACTAGTACACTACACTGCAACATGGTGGTGGTAGCCACATAAGTTTCCACAGAACCTGTTCTATCAGTACATCGGCCCGACATGGGTACTAGCATGGACCACATGAAATTCCTCTACTGTCCAAGACAGACTATTGCTTCCTACCCTATTCAAGATCCGTGTCTGTTGCTCTGCACACCAAAACAAAATGGACACCACCAGCCAACACCACTGGCTGGCTCTACTACCTAAAACTCCCAAGTTCCAACTATGCACAGTAGACACTCACTTGCACACACACGTACACAGCCCATGCACAATCACCAGCCCCCCCACACACAAACACACTAAAGAACAAGTCGAACAATGAGCACACACTCACACAGCCTTCCCCCCTCCTTGGCCGATCATAGCCTTGAAAAACTGGACCCCCTTGGAAATGGGGGAGTCCTTTGCAACAGCAGCATACAGCACCGTCTCAATCCTCTCCGCATCAGGGCGAGTGGGCAGCGCGGTAAGCGGCCGCATCGCACTCTCGCCCTTCTTCTGCGTCAGTAACACCCACGGCACTGGACCGCCCGTGCCCGCGCCTGCACTTGCCCCTGCGCCCGCATCGGCTCCCCCCACCACGCGCATCAGCGCGCCCTCGTTCCCCCCGAACAGCCCCTGCACGGCCAGCGGCATGAAGCAGTACACCACGTCGAATTCCTTCACGAAATCCGCTACTAACGAGGATGGAACATCGGAATCAGCAGAGGCGGCGGGCGCGGAAGCCCAGGCGGGGTTGAGGAGGAGAACGGGCGTGTTTCCTGCGCTGTTGAGCACGGATCTGACTTTCCCCGCTTGCGCCTCCGTGGGGCCTACTATGCACACGAGCGCCGCGTCGCGAGGCACTGACGGCCGCTCATCCAAGCTAGCTATGTCCCACTCGATCACTGCTGCTGATGCTCCTGCTGGGTCTTTATTAGTAGCTGCTGCTGCGGCGGCAGCAGCAGGGCCGAACAGAAGCGACACTGCGCATTTTGCGGGGGCATTTCCGCCTACACTCGCCCCTCTCCCCGCACCCCCCCGCCATCGCACCAGGCCAACGGCTCTCCGCACCAAGTCCTGCGCCGTTTCCGCCAGCACCTTGGGGGAATCGTCTCGCAGCGGAATTTCCACCTGAAAGCGCGCGCCGGCGGAAGCCGCTCCCCCTCCCCCACCCCCTCCGCTGCCCCCCTTGCCGGAAATCTGCTTGCGCTGCTTAAGTGTCATAGGCTCTGCGGCGCGAGATGCGGCGCGAATTGCGGCGGCCACGCATTCGCCGGCTTGGCGGAGAGCATCCTCGAGGGATTCCGGCGGGATCACGCGCGGGATAGGCGGCGGCGCGGCTTTCGCAGCAGGGACGGAACGAGTTTCGGAGGATGAAGGCGAGGGTTTTGAGGAGGGGTTTGCGGAGGACTGCTTACGCGGGCGTGACTTGGCCTGCGCGTAAATCGAGAGGCTTCGGGGTGGATTTTCTCCGCGGCATTTGCGGTCAAGGGCGGAGGACGCAGGAAAAGGAGAGAGCGTGAGAATGCGGCGAGACGAGAGGTGCGAAGCAGTGCGGGATGTCCGCGAGTCGATCCGAGCGGACGTAGGGGCCGCGAGTGAGTAAGAGAGACCAGATGAGGTGGGTAGCAGCTGCGCCATTGGTAGGGTGGCGGACATTCAGAAATGATGCGCTAGCAGCTACTTGTTTCACCTTGTAGCTCGAGAACTGATTACATGTTTTTTTCCAGCGGCACGTGCGAGATGTGAAGCAGGAGATTTCTAGAGGAGAATTTAATTATTGTAACATTTTTTTTTGTTCGTACAGATCGTACCTATCTCCCGAATTGCGCATTGCGCAGTATCGCGTTCCCTTTTCAAACGGAGATCGAAACTCGAAGCTTCTTCTCAAGCTTCTCGTGGTCAATGGCTGGGGGGAAAGGGAGTGGAGGGGAAGGGCTGGTTCGGTGCGGTGCGGCGGCGTGGTGGTGCGGCGGTGGCGGGCTGCACACATTTGCAACAGAGTACACCTGTCCCGCGCTAATTTCAACCCCCCCAAAAATTTTACAGAGCCACCTAGACCAGATTCGGCTGTATCTTTCAGACACCCAGGATCAAAAGGATATGAACAGGCTCTCCTCATCGGTAGTTAAAAAAAAACATTCCGTCAGTGGATCAGGCGCACCACCCACTCACACGGCCAATGTTTTCAGTTGCGACCTCTGTTGCGCCCACGTACTCGAAGGGAGTCCAAAACTTTAGCTACTCTAAAATAGGTATCGAGCTATACAACCCTTGGTTCCATAAATAACAAGGGTACCTACCCACGAGGGTCCAACTTCAGGGGTTGAAATTGGCGGGGAAAAGGTGTAACTTTGAGGCACATGTTGGCTACACCCAGTTTGGAGTGAACAACCTGTTGGCGTCATGGAAAACCCAGCACTGAGCCACTCGCTAAACAAGCTTGCATCAGGCCTGGAATCACATCTGTTAGCCAGCGCAGATTGGAAAATGTTCAATTCGGCGTCACGCAGCTGTATGAAGTTCCGGATTCCAGGTGGCTTCCTCCCGTCTACAGCTGCGAACTGGGATGCAAAGTACGACCCGGGTTACATCTCCGAAGTACAGGAGTCCCCATCCCCGATTTGACAATGGTCATTGTTGACTCGTCCTCACTGATCATCCATCCCCATTTCTCAAGCAAGGGAGGAACAGCGCTTCGTTGGGGAGACGAGACAGCTGTCCTCGTTTAGTGTATGTTGATTCATGTGGTAGTTAGCGCACCACCAGCTGCCACTCCCTGCCAACCGTTGTTTCATGCATGCAGATTCATTGCAAATGGTTCACCAGAATTGCAACGTGCGGGCAGTTCGTATGTTTCCATCTTAGAATAGTTTGTGTGGGTGTACGCTAGAGCAACTAAATGCACTTGATGCTGTCTCAACCCAGAACAATTTAGTTTTGTTTCAGCTTTAAAAATATGTGAACTATACATCAAGGGCAGAATGAGGTCTCGGTCTCTCCTTAGAATGAGGAAAGATATCGTAATGTGGCACTTTTTACTGTGTTCCGTGTCGTGTGCCTGAAATGGGGCCACTACACGGTCGACACGCGGCAGTTGGTCATCTCCAAACCAGAGCTCCCATCCTAACTGCTAAACTCAACGCCTTGAATTGGTTCGCTTGGATGCAGGCGGGACTCGGGGCGGGGAGAAGCACCTGCTCAACAACAGAACCTCCACCTTGGCTGCTCCACGTCAGCCTCGCTTACCCATAAAGCAGCAACCTCGTCCTTGGCTCGGTAAGGCCCAAACCTCGTTCCCGCGCCTTCAAACACACGAAGCTCAAGAAACTTCCTACAGCTTCGTTACGAACCATACCTGCGCATCCCCAAACCAGCCGAGGAAATCCTCCAGCCACCGTCTACAAAATCCCTTTCGTTCACTACATTTGATGCAGTATTTGCACCTTTCTATGTCCAAATCCATCGCCCCTAACTCGTCCACTAGAACCACTCTCTCGTTCCCTCCTCCGATGAATGATTGGTTACCGTTCCATCCGTACTTACCTGGTCTTCTTGCTGCATTGCCGCCATTTCCAGTGAAGACGGAACCGTTTTGTTTCTGATTCAGTGGCTGCGACCACCAAGTTTGCAGCGCATCTGTGTTGTTTTTCATCGTGTTTTTGTTTCCATTTGTTTGTTTCTCGTTTTGTCGATCTGTTATGTATGTGACATTTCGTGATTGTACTTTGGAATAAGCCGTTCTTGTCTCGCCGTTCACTGTCAAGCATACTGCCACTGTCTCGTAGCTTCTCCGTAACTTAACCACCACCTCCTCGCACTCGACGCAACACTTGAACTGCGCTGTTGCGCGCATAACTGCTCTTCGCGTTTGCAGCTGCATTGCCCCAATCCTAAACGCGCGTTTCTCCCTCGTCTCCCTAGCCCCAAGCAAAGCCTACCTCGTGTTGTCCGCGGATAATCGCTGAAACTCCGGAGGCGCGACGCGAGCAACAAGAAGCCGGGCATGGCTGCTAATGCAGTTTTCTGGTGGAGCATCAAGCCTTGAATCGTCTGAAAACAAAAGAATTTCAGGAGCTGCTGTGACTGCGATGTGTCAGCATGCGATCCTGTTGTGTTAACGCGTAATCATTCCCGGTGAACAGTGGTACAGTGAAATTCAAAGCCTTCTTAGGTCTCTACGTTGTCTAAGCGCGTGAATCGGGACAAAATAGGCACACAATGCAGTCGGACATGGATTGTCCGTGCGAGAGACTCGTGGTGGCAGTCGGCAAGGATAACGGGTCGAAGGAGGCCATCCGATGGGCCGTCGCTAACAAGATTCGGTCGCCCAACGACGTCCTTATCTTACTCCACGTCGTCTCTCGGTTACCAGGACCAAGTAAGTGCACTCAAATCGGGTAACAATTCCTACCTTCGTCTGTTCATTGCGCTCTATAGTCTTCACCCTTTTGCGTTCAAAAAAAAAAAAAAAACATTATTACCTGGAATAAAATTTTGCAATGTCAAGAATTAACGTAGTCGTTTTCCCACGCATCCTCTCCGTTCCCGCGTCCCCCGGCAGTGGGCACGGAGATATACCAGAGCGAGGTGAACAACACGCTGTTCGTGCACTATGTGCGCACCGTGGTGCAGCCCATGATGTCCCTCCTCAAGTCCTCCATCAGCGCCCATGTAATGCGCTCCCCTCGCCCGCCTCGTTCCCCTCGCTCCTCTCGCTCCTCTCGCTCCCCTCGCTCGCCTCGCCAGTCGTATGTTTTGCGGATTAATCCCTCGCCGAGTTTCGCAATCCTGCACTTCGTTTCCCTCAATCGCCCCGCATCAGCGTGCCTCCCGACCTTCCCGTCTCCCCTATTTCCGTCGCCCTTGAAACGCTCTCCACGCCCACGCTCATTTTCACTCTTACTCTCACCCTCACGCTCACCTCCACGCTGATGCTCTCAACGTTCTCATGCTCACGCTCACGCTCACGCTCTCGTGCATCGTGCGTCTTGCGACTGGCAATTTGCCAGGTGAACGTCCAGATGAAGCTGTCGCGCAACAACCATCGCGACAAGGGAACCATGGAGGAAGCGCGCAACCTGCGCGCCACCACGCTCATTATCGGCAGCAACGGCCGCTCCTCCCTCTTCTCCTCGTAAGCAATCCCTTTCCTGCTTCTTGACTTTCCCCTTCGGGATTCCCTTCCCCCTCGCGCCTCCCTCTCCCTCCCGGGAGGCTTTCTTATACGACGCTTCTCTCTGTTCCTTTAGTCGACCTGTGCCCCATGCTCGTCTCTAAATGAAAAAAACGCGTAGTGAAATTTCGTAACTGACAACAGAAAAACAAATCACCTCAGCTCGTTCGTTATCCTTAACCGGATAACCCCTGAACGGATAACGCACAGAGTGTGCACTGATTTCTTCTTTTAGTAAATTTCCATTTCACCAGCCTCTTGAATCCCAGCCTCCAATGTTTCCGTCTCCGTTTCAAATATGGTCTAATATTGTTTACACATTTTCCCATACATCCATCGCTTTGTCATTGCACTGTTCGAAAACTTGATATGCTATCCGTTTTTTTTTCCCTCTCTCTCATCTCATTTCAAACCTCTTTTCAACCCTACTCGAAGAGTTTGCCTAAAGTGCCAAACAAAAGACCCACAATTCCCCATACCTCCTCTTCCTCTCCCTTCCTCTCCTCCTCCCACCCGCCCTCCCTCCCCTCCCCTTACATATCTTTCCACGCTCCTTCCTTCCACCCCCCTATCCCTCCCAGGAAGCCTAAGGTATCGGCCTTGGGGCAATACTGTGCCAAGTACCGTCCGTACGGCATGGCAGTATGCGTGATAGACAAGGGTGGCAAGCTCGTGCTTTCCAAAGAAGCCGACGCGCCTTCCTCCGTGTCCAACAGCGGCAGCCCTGCCTCGTCCGGCCGAGCCTCCGGCCAGATCAGCCCCGGCCAGTCCGGCAGATTCCAACGCGGAGGAGGTTCGGGGTCGGGTACTGGCACGAGCACTCCCAGCAGCATGGATGGTGGCGGGGGGTTTCCGAGGAGGGGAGGGAGTGCGGCGGGTGGCATGGGCGGTGGCATGGGCGGTGGCATGGGCGGTGGCATGGGCGGTGGCGGTGGTGGTAGTTTTGGTGGTCGCGGTGGTGGGTCGATGGGTGGAACGCCGGGGGCGTCTGGTGTGCTGGAGCCCACGTATAGTGGGACGTTTGGCGATGGTGGTGCTGATGGGCCTCCACAAGGTGAGCGAAGCGAGACGAGATGGGAGAGGAGCGCGAGAGTGGGGGGCGAGTTGGGTGAAGGAGAAGAGGTGTGAGAGAAGAGGAGGGCAAGATAGTTTGGGATGCGATGCGATGCTCCTTACGCTCACACCATCTCTCCCATGTGCTCATCTGCTGCCCTTCGTTGCCATCGCGTTGCCTGTTAAGGCTGGCTGGCCGTGTCGCAGTAACAGCTCCTTCTCCCTTGATTTCCAGCCCAGCCTTTTGTACTGTTCAAAACGTTCCAAAATGGAATGATGGGGTTCCTATGTGAGCGATTTCTCAAGATTCTCATCCGTGCTTTTTGAGGAGCTTCAAATAATATGAAACAGAGAGCAACCTTATCAAATCACACTAACCTGAATTGTGATGTGTAACTAACTCCTACCTGATAACACACACACCCAACCGCAACACTCCTAAACTACACGCTTCATCCTGCTCTCCCTATACCTCTCCCACCCCCGCACATCTCCCCCTTCCCCTCCCCTCCCACCCCTCCCCCTTCTTTCCCCCCCCCCCATCAGCCTTGGACCCTCTCCGCACCTCCCCTGCGCACGCCTTCAACGCCTCCCGCCCGCCCTACGCCTCAGACGCACGCGCCTCCCCCTCCCGCTCCGCCATGCCCCCTCCCCCGCTCGACCCCGGCGCCCCCCTGCGCCCCTCAGGGCTGGGCCCGCGCGGATCCATGAATGAGCGCGGCATGGGGGGAGGGGGGGGGATCCCCATGGGCGCCAATGGCAGCGGCACCATGCTCCCAGTGTATGGGTCCCAGCCAGGGGGGGCGGGCATGGGGGGCCCAGGCATGGGTGCGGGTGCAGGCATGGGGGGTGCAGGAGCAGGCATGGGTGGGGGAGGTGGGGCAGTGGGAATGAGCTCGTCCGGTTCCCCCAGCACCAGCGGATCCACCAACCTCCTCCTCTCCGGGCGCCGCTTCCCTCGCGCCGGCTCATCTGACTCCTCCCCCACCTCCTCCGCCTCCTCCCCCAGCTGGAACCGCCCCGGGGGCGCCCCTGGCGGCGGCACCGCTGGGGGGAATTTCCAGCAGGCGCAGGGGCAGGGGCAAGGGGGGGGAGCACAGGATGCAGTGGCAGTGGGGCTAGCGGCGGGGCTGCAGGGGGAGGCTCTAGAGGATTTCGTGGCGTGGAGGCGGGGCAATCCCATGGCGTCGTACGTGCAGCAGCAGGAGTACATTCTGGATGCTCACCGCCGCATGGCTGCTGGCGGCGCTGGCGGTAGCATGCTCATGGCCATGCAGCAGCAGCAGCAGCAGCAGCAGCAGCAGCAGCAGCAGCAGCAGCAGCAGTGGAAGGGGCAGACGCCGGTGCTGACGTCCATGAATTCCCTAGGCTCTGGCGCGTCTGACGATGAAGCTAGTGTGAGTGGCCATGTGCTAGTGCGAGCTCTGGCACTTGCTTGGTGAATTCACTGGAAAAAGAGACGTTCTAGCAACTCTCCCAAGCTCTCCTCGTATCCCATTCCCCTCCCTCTCTTCTTCCTCTTCCATTTCCGTTTCCTCCTTCACCCCACTCAGGCAACCCCATAAGTTTCCCCCACCCTCTCCTGTGCTTCCATTCTCTTCACCCCTATCCCTTACGTCCCTCCCTCGCCTACTACCACTCTATAATTCTTCTCCTCCCCTCTCCTCTCGTCGCCTTTCCATCCCTTCACCTTTTCCCCGTCCAGTCTCCCAGGACGACCTGCACACACTTATGAGATGTATAAAAAAGTTTTCTCCTCTACTCTCAGTTTCCCCCTTCCATCCCCTCCCCTCCCTTGCCATCCCTTCACCTTTCCCCCACCCCAGGACGACCTGCGCAAGGAGCTAGAGCGCATGCGCCTGCGCGCAGGTTTGACACGCCTCAATTCCCCCTTCCATCCCCTCACCCTCCCGCCTGCCATCCTTTCACCCACACCACCCCTTTCCTGCCCTCCTTTCAGGACGACCTGCGCAAGGAGCTAGAGCGCATGCGCCTGCGCGCGGCCGAAGCGGAAGCAGCCCAAGCGGAAGCGGAGCTGCGGGCGCAGCGGCTGATGCTGGAAGCGCAGTCGTCCGTGCGGCAAGTGGAGGCAGCGCAGCGTCAAAAAGAGCTCGAAACCGCCGCACGCGTGGAGCAAGCGGCTTTCGAAGCCCTCACAGCCCAGGCTGCAGCGGAGGAGGCGCGGCGGGCTACGGAAGCGGAGCTCCAGAGGAAGGGCGCTGCGAGGAAGGAGGCGGCGGCTAAGGTCGCGGAGCTGGAAGTGCAGGCGAAGAGGCGGAAAGAGGCTGAGATGAGAGTGCTGAATGGCGCTGCTGGCTCTGGGGGGGGCTCTGTGGGGAGCAGCGGGAGCAATGGGAAGGGCGGCGGGGGAGGTGGATCGGGGGGTGCGGGTGCGGGAGTGGGAGCGGGAGGGGAGGGTGTGGAGGGGAAGGAGGGGGAGGGAGAGAGTGAGGAGGGGGCTGCGGTGCAGGAAGGGCCGTTTGTGGAGCACACGTGGGAAGAGATGAAGGTGAGGAGGGGTCAGGGGGTGGGAGTGGAAGGGAGAAGAGAAGGAGAGAGGGAGATGGTGAGGGAGATTTTTGTTTGTTGCGATGAATGGTTCGACGCGGAATATGTGCTGCGCGTTCTGTAACTCACAAATCAACTCACTCTCTGTTGTTGTTATTGTTTTTTCTTCTTCTTATTTTCCTAACTGGTTGTATACCTCGCGTCACACCTTCTGTTTCCCCTCTCTCGTCATCCCCTACTCCTCTCTACTCTCTGCTCCTCACCGCCTCTCCACTGTGGAGCAGGCATGCACAGAGGGATTCAGTGAGCAGCGCAAGATAGGAGAGGGCGGGTTTGGCACAGTGTATCTGGGTACACTGCACCACACGGCCGTGGCAGTCAAGGTGCTCAAGAGCCGCGACCACCAAAAGGCAAAGACCGAGTTCCGCCAAGAGGTGAGGTCACCCGCCGCCGCCGCCGCCTGTGCCCCCTAGTGCAATGCCCTGTCCTGCCCTGTCCTGCCCTCCCCTGCCCTCCCCTGCAATGCAATGCTGTGGCTTCAATTCAACATGTGCTGCATTTCCCCGCCCTGTGCCTTGCTCGTTGATCCGCTTTCCCTGTTTCTCCCTCGCATGCCTCCCCACGTCTCGCCATTCCCCGTCATGCTTCCCATTCCAACAACACCTCTTCCATTCCTGTAGGCGCTTCTCACCCAAACCCCAACCCCTCCACCATTCCTCCTCAATCCCTCCCCCTTCTCCCCTGATCCCCACTTCCTCTCTCCCCTCCTCCTCCCCCACAGGTGGCGGTTCTGAGTCAGATCCATCCCCCGCACGTGGTCATGTTGCTGGGGTGCCCACCATCGCGTTACTGAGTCATTTTCTGCCCCGGTCTCTCTCCCCCTTCTTCCCTCCCCCACAGGTGGCGGTGCTGAGTCAGATACAGCACCCACACGTGGTCATGCTGCTCGCGTGCTGCTCCTCCCACTTCTGCCTCGTCTACGAGTACATGGCAGGCGGCAGCCTCGACGAGCGTCTCCGCTGCACCAAGGGCACCGCGCCCCTCCTCTGGCACTCCCGCCTGCGCATTGCAGCGGAAGTCGCCTCCGCTCTCCTCGTCCTCCACAACCGCCCTGCACCCATAGTTCACCGGGACCTCAAGCCCGCGAATATCCTCCTAGATAAGAACCTAGTGGCCAAGCTCGCAGACGTGGGGCTTGCGCGGCTCATGCCCACCGCGGACTCCTCCTCCGGGAACGGCAACGCGGTCATGCGGACGTACGCGCGGGAATCCGTCGCAGTCGGGACTTTCGCCTACATGGATCCGGAGTTCCAACGCACGGGGGAATACGGCCCGAAATCCGATGTCTACGCGTTGGGAATCGTGCTCCTGGACCTGCTCACCGGCCTCCGTCCGAACGCGTTCGAAGGACTCGAAGACGCGGTGGACGACGACGACGAGGAGGCTCTCGCGGCTCTCCTGGATAAAACCGCGGGCGACTGGCCCGTGCCTCTCGCCATGGAGCTTGCGAAAATGGCGCTGAAATGCTCTGAGATGCGCAGGCGGAGCCGGCCGGATCTGGCCAAGGTGGTGATGCCGGTGCTGGAGAAGGCGAGAGAGGTGGCTGCTCGCGTGGAGGAGGAGATGGAGAAGGATGCCTGGCGCACTGCTAACCTGCCCAGCCCGCACAAGGCTGCTAGCTGCTTCTTCTGCCCCTTGACCAAGGTACGGTGCCGGTTGGGGGGGTAACGAGGGGAGGTCGTGGTAGAGGGGGGGGATGGGAGGGGAGGAGATGGGAGGGGGAGAGGTACGTTTTTTTAGGCGTCGCAAATGTCGGAGCCGGCCGGACCTTGCCAAGGTGGTCATGCCGGTGCTGGAGAAGGTGAGAGAGGTGGCTGCTCGCGTGGAGGAGGAGATGGAGGGGAATGCCTGGCGCACTGCTAACCTGCCCAGCCCGCACAAGGCTGCTAGCTGCTTCTTCTGCCCCTTGACCAAGGTACGTTGCTGGTGGGGGGAAGAGTGGGAGGATGGAGGGGAGGGGAGAGGAGGAGTGGGGAGGAAAGGAGAGGAAAGGGGAGGAAAGGGGAGGAGTGGAGAGGGAGTGTGAGGGGGAGAGGTGCGTGGTGTGGGAAGGGGGATTGGGAAGGGAAGGATGGAAGAATGGAAGGGGGCTTGATTGGTGCTGGAAGAATGTCCAGGGTTCTTGAATGCTGCTGGAAGAGGAGAGGAGAGGGGGGGTGGTGGTGGTGGGCCTCCCTCGTGTATGGGCCTCCCTCTCCTCTGACCTTGAAAAGTGCCCAGTGCTCTTCGATGCTCACTCTCTTGTCTTGTCCCTCCCCTGATTCCGCCGCTCTACCTTTTTTTCCCCTCTCCCATTTTTACCCTCCCCACTCCCTCCCTTCAACCTCCCAGGCAGGAGGTGATGCAGGATCTAGCGCTGGCAGCGGACGGGCACACGTACAAACGTTCCTCCCTTCACTTCCCCCTCTACTCCCGTTCCCTGTTTCGAAACCCCTGCACTTTCCCTGTCCCTCCCTCCCACAAGAGGTGATGCAGGATCCTGTTCTGGCAGCGGACAGCCACACGTACAGCCGTTCACCGCCCGCTTCCCTCTCCCTTTCCCCACGTTCCCTCCGTCCCTCTCCCCCTCCTGCCTGCAGGAGGTGATGCAGGATCCAGTGCTGGCAGCGGATGGGCACACAAACAGTCAGTCACCCCCCTCTCTCTCTCCTCCCGTCTGTCTTCCCCGCCTCTCCCTCTGTCTTCCTATCGCCCCCACCCCCCCCTGCAGGAGGTGATGCAGGATCCAGTGCTGGCAGCGGATGGGCACACGTACGAGCGGGCAGCGATCGCCAAGTGGCTGGCGGAGGGCAACAGCACGTCGCCCATGACGCATGAGCCCCTGCCCAACACCGACGTCATGCCCAACCATGCCATCCGCGCCATGATCACCGACTGGCGCAACGGCAACAAGTAACGCCTGCCTGCACGAGAGGAGGAGGAGGAGGAGGAGGAAGGAGGAAAGGCACGCCTGCTGCGGGCGGTTTTTTTTGGGAGTTTTGTATGCTGGAAGGAGGAATCACCTTTGAGAGTTGTCAAAATGGAGATGTCTCACAAGCTGGCCTGCCTCGCATGCTTGATTATGGCGAGTCCATCCGTGCCAGTAGTGCAGATGAGGAGGAATATCGGGTTGGGAAGGGGCACCCTTCTTCTTCTGGGGTGGTGCCATTCGCCTTGTGGGTGGGAATGGGGATGAAGACAGGGATGGATGGAGGGAGTGCGGAACTCATTGAGGTGGCAAGGGGGGAAAGACAGAATTGGTGAGAGGGATGGGTGGACCGTGGAACTGTTATTGGACCATCTATCAAGTCTACTCGGTTTGCCGTAGTCGCAGTGGTAGTTAACTTGTGCCTGCATATGGTGCTCAATTCAATTGGACCTACCGGTATTAGTATTTATGGTAACAATTGCTTGCTATACGAGAATGTTGCTTGTGTGTACAATGGTAACAATGCATGGGTCTAGTTTGGATACTCTGTGGTGCTATTGATTGAGCGGGGAAATGGTAGCATGCATGAGTACAAGTACCTAACCCTAAAGTGTTGTACCCCTTAGGGTAAGCCCCACTACAGCCTAGAGATAACAAATGTAATTTGACACACCCCCATAGGCAAAGTGGGGGATAGCAAACACACCGGACGGTCAAGACCAGTCAAGCAAGAGAACAAAGCAAAGCAAAGCTCAGGGAGAACAAAGCAAAGCAGTGCAGAAACGCTGATGATCACCAGACCCAAGAGCCTTGGTGAAGACATCAGCTGTGTTGGCCCGAGAGGCCACGTAAGCAAGGCGCAGCTGACCACGCTGCTGCAGCTCACGCGCAAGGAAGTAGCGAAGAGCAATGTGCTTCGTTCTGTGCTCCAGTCTCTGCTCACGACACAAGGCAAGCATTGCCTTGTTGTCGACGTACAGAACTGGAGGAGAACGAGGCTGCTCCCCCAAGTCGGTCAGCATGTAGGTCAGCCAGCGTAGCTCCTGTGCAGCCATGGCCCCAGCGTAGATCTGGGCCTCACAGCTGGAACCAAGTACAGAGGAAGAATGAGTGAACCTCCACGAGACAGAACCAGAGCCAAGACTGAAGGTGTAACCCTGTGACGAACGCTGAGTCGCCTGGTCGTCGGCCCAAGAAGCGTCAGAGTGTCCTGTGAGTACCACTGAACCCCGTCCTCCAAGAATGAGCCCCATGCCCGATGTGCTGCACAAGTAACGCAGTACCCTCTTCGCAGCATCAAAGTGCACCTTTCGGTGTCTACCAGGTGCCACGTAGCGAGCCAGGAGGCTGAGAGGGTACGCGAGGTCAGGTCGTGTGCACGTCATCAGGTACATGAGGCAACCCACAAGCTCTGGGTACGGACCACTCGGCTCTACGGACTCGTCCGAAGGTGGAGCTGAGAGCGAGTGGCCGGTAGACAGAGGAGTGGGCTGTGGCGAGGACCACGTGAAGCGGAAGCGCTGAAGGACCTGCTGCACCATGTGTGACTGAGTCAGGGTGATGGTGCGCCGTGCTCTGTCCCGGGTGATCTGCAAGCCAAGATAGCTCCGCAGCTCACCCAGGTCAGTGCAGCTGTGTTTCTCCTGCAGCTCTGCCTTCACTAGGGCCAGTGCCTCAGTGTCAGCAGTAGCAAAAACCAAGTCGTCGACGTACACGAGGATGTAGAACGTCGGCAGAGTAGTGTCGGTGCGTAGAAACAGCGACGGGTCAGCAGTCGAAGGAGCAAACCCAAGAGCCGCAAGTGTCGTCCTCAGTGTGTCGTGCCACTCACGGGGCGCTTGACGCAAGCCGTATACTGGTCGCTGTAGGCTCCACTGGGTACCCTCAGGAAACGACCCAGTGAAGCCATCTGGACGGCGCAGCCAGATGGCCTCGTGAAGGCTACCCTGCAAGAAAGCTGTCGAAAAGTCGAGGGAGTGCAGTTCGTAGTCACGCTGAGCTGCAACGTGTAGCAACACCCGAAGAGTGGTCATCTTCGGGGTGGGGGAGAAGGTTTGAAAGAAGTCGACCCCTTCACGCTGACTGAAGCCTCGAGCGACGTAACGTGCCTTGAAGGCAGGCGGAGAACCCGGCGGCCGCTTCACCCTGAAAATCAACATGCCACTGACAATGTTCGCCCCAGGTGGGGGAACCTCGTCAACGTAGGTACCTGTGGACTTCCAGGAAGCCATCTTAGCGTCCATGGCTGTCTGCCACTGAGAGGAGTACGCACCCGAGATCGCCTCTCTGTAAAAGCGCGGGGTGGGGATGTCAAGTTCATCCGGGTCTCCCTCAGGGGCAAGCAGCATGGTAGCGAGATGAGGTGCAACAGCCGCAAGGCACTCCAGCTCCTCCTGTCTGTCCTCAAGAACGTCACAGCCAAGGGCAACCTCACCCCCGACGGACGGAGGACATGCAGGGTCAGGGTCGGAAACGAGGCTCGCAAGGTAATCTAGGCGTACACACCAGCAAAGTCAACTAGCTCAGCGACTAAGGCAGACGCAGCAGGAGACGAGAACGTAGGGTCCGTCACAACCGTAGCAAGAAAGCGAGTAACAGTCGGACTGGACGCACGAGCAAGGTCAGACGGAGGGTCAGCAATGTCAGGAAGAGAAGACGCAGGAGGGGACGGCAAGACAACAAGCTGTGGAACAGAGGAAGGACAGAGTGTCATATCGTGAGTGCCTGGGACAGCCGGGGGACGCTGACGACGAACACGAGGAACACGAGTACGGACAGCGGCTCTAGGCTCGGGCTCAAGGTCAAAGCTAGACTCACGCTCTCGACGCTCAGGGGTGGAAGCACGAGTCTCAGGCTCTCGACGCTCAGACAGGGACTGTGTCACCGCAGTGTAAGGAGCAGGAGCAGGCAGTGGGGAGTGCGGTAGCAGCGGCGGCTGAGACTGGTCTGCCGGTGGAAAAAGTAACGGAGGAGTAGTACCTGCCACAGGGATGTCAGTAGCACCTGGCGGAAGACTGAGAAGGTGGCGAAGAGCACCAGTAGCTCCCGTACCTCCAGCACGAGCAGCTCCACCAGTACTCCCAGCAGCACCTCCAACACCAGTAGCACCAGCACCTCCAGTACCTCCAACACCAGCAGCATCAGTAGCTCCTGGTCCTCCAGCACCAGCAGCACCTCCAGTACCTCCAGCACCAGCAGCAGGACCAGCACCTCCAGCACCAGCAGCTCCAGCAGCTCCAAGTTCTCCAGCACCAGCAGCACCAGCAGCTCCACGTCCTCTAGCACCAGCAGCACCTCCAGTACCTCCAGCACCAGCAGCAGGACTAGCAGCTCCAGCAGCTCCAGCACCTCCAGTACCAGCAGCACCACCAGCTCCACGTCCTCCAGCACCAGCAGCACCTCTAGTACCTCCAGCACCAGCAGCAGGACCAGCAGCTCCAGCACCTCCAGCACCAGCAGCTCGAGCAGCTCCACGTCCTCCAGCACCAGCAGCACCTCCAGTACCGCCTGCACCAGCAGCAGGACCAGCAGCTCTAGCACCTCCAACACCTCCAGCACCAGCATCACCAGTAGCTCTACGTCCTCCAGCACCAGCAGCACCTCCAGTACCTCCAGCACCAGCAGCAGGACCAGCAGCTCCAGCACCTCCAGCACCGGCAGCACCAGCAGCTCCACATCCTCCAGCACCAGCAGTACCTCTAGGACTAGCAGCTCCACCACCTCCAGCACCAGCAGCTCCAACTCCTCCAGCACCAGCAGCACCTGCAGTACCTCCAGTACCTCCAGAACTAGTAGCTCCAGCACCAGCAGCTCCTCCAGCAGAACCTCCAGGACTAACAGCTCCAGCACCTCCAGCACCAGCAGTACCTCCGGGACTAGCAACTCCAGCACCTCCAGCACCAGCAGTACCTCCAGGACTAGCAGCTCCAGCACCTCCAGCACCAGCAGCACGTCCAGGAGTACCTCCAACACCAGCAGGACCGAGCCCTCCACCACCAGGACGGCCACGCCGAACGATCCACGCACGGATCCACTCCGGTGAGGGCGCCTTAGGTGGACTATACTGGCCAGCTCCACGTCCTCCAGCAGGGTCACCCACAGCTCCACCGCCACTAGGAATCGCAACACCCCCAGAGTCAGCACCTCCAGTCGAAGCACCCCCAGAACTCTTACCCTCGGTCTCAGCACCCCCAGAACCCGCACCCCCAGTGTCACCACCAACAGCAGCTCCAGGGTCCACAACAGCAGGCTGCTGAGGCGGCGAAGACGGCCGAGGCGGAAAACCAGGGGGGGCTCCAAGCGAGGAGAGCGGGCAACCTCAGGCACAGCACCCACAGGCTCAACACCAGTAGTCTCAGCTCCAGAGTCCACAGCAGCAGGCTGTGGAGGCGGCGAAGACGGTCGAGGCGGAAAGCCTGGGGGGGTCTCCAAGCGTGGAGGGCGGCGAGTGGCCGCCGTGTCGTCCGCAACAGGGTTACCCCCCTCAGCTTGGCCAGAGGAGTCAGAAGAGATCTCCATTGGCTCATCCAAGGGGGGTGGGTCGACCTGAGACACACCTGAGGGAGCAGGACCCTGTGAGGGGAGTGGGTCTACCGGGGGGGGGACTGGTATCAGGAAGAGGGGTGCAAGGGGGACCGGGTGGGACGCGTGAGGGTGCAGCTGGTAGAAGCAGACAGACTCGTCAAAGGTGACGTCCTGGGAGGCGAAGACCCGACGCGAGGGCGGGTGGTAGAACTGCCACGGCGGGGCGTCAGTGGGGAAGCCAAGGAAGACGCAGCGGAGAGTGCGGGAGGAGAGCTTGCTCGCTTTGGCATCGCGAACAAGGGAGAGCGCGCCCCAGACCCGAAACACTGACGCATCGCCAGCCTTCCCCGTCCACCGGAGTGTGGGCGAGGTCTCTGGCTCAGAGACACGGGGCCAGAGGTTGAGCTGATGCGCAGCGTATCGGACCGCAAACGGCCACAGAAAATGGGGAGCAGCCGCATGGA